GGGAGGGAGACCTGGGTTCGACCAGCAGTTTGAATCAAGGTCAGTGAAGGTGCGAAATAATTAACCGGGAATCGATATTTATTCCCATCTGATCAATTTGACCTCATGAAATAATTTGCGGTTTGAAAAACAATTCTGTCGAGAGGAAAGAATTTACGGAGGGCAAATTTGACAGCAGCACAGTACCGGATAGAAATCAAATACCCGGCTGATGATGAATATGTGCGTCAGTGTAGGATTAGTATGGAGTATTCAAAGCACAAATAACGACCACAGAACGATAATGAGTAGATGGTTCTAAAAGTGAAATCGGAAGTAAATGGGAATCCTACTGTGACGAGAAGCCTGAAAGAATTTTCTGACACCAATACAGAGCGCTCTCACTTTGCAACTGGCTCTCAGAGCTGTAATAGTTCAATGAGAACTCGTACGTTTAGCTCCAACGCTCCGATTGTTCCTTTCTATACCTCTCCAGCCAAGCTCAGTCTTTTTTGGCAAAAAAATTCAAGAACTATGAATACACTAGACAAAATATGGTAGTTACAACTAGCAAGAAGGGATTTACGGGCTCTCGAGCATAGTTGCTAGTGTAAGGCATCGTTGCTGTACCTTCCTAGACATTAGATTGGTTCAACTCAAAATACAATCTTGCATCTACATCCAGTGTCACCTGATCATCGATATCAGGTAGACCTATTAAATTTGACAAACCTGTAAACAGCAAGATATTCAATGCTGATAAACAGATTAATCACCACAAAGTCAAAGAGGTTTGGTGATTTCAAGTTTTCTGTGAGGATGATTTATAGAAAATGTACAGTGTAGTCAAGGTTTTGGTCAGAGGCAGAACCTGAAGAGGATGATTTATAGAAAATGTACAGTGTAGTCAAGGTTTTGGTCAGAGGCAGAACCTGAAAAGTTTGAGCATGAAGATCCTACACATCAGTAATAAAGGAGCGTCACGGGAGTAGGTATATCGGTGAGCATAACTGTAGGTTACGTTTATAGGCAAAACACAAACAGAGCCACCGCTCCACCATTGTTGTTGCTATTGCTCATTTGAAATTCAGATCACCGTGGACAACCACACAGAGGATTTGTCAAATGCAGAGATCGTGCGAGTGATCTAGTCCGGAAAACCACGTATTAGCTCAGAATTCGAACAAAACAACTCTAACTATATTAAAAATGTGACTCTTACTTAACATCAGCAACGCTCTCTACATTTACTTGAATCTACGTATATCTCAATATGGTGAGGCACGGTTAGGCAAGGGAGACGGTAAAGTGTTATCAGAGAACTACTACATATCTACGCGCAGCTCCTTACAATGATACTCTTACCTATAAATTTTGAGAAACTTGAGTTCTAAGATGTTTTCAAAAACTCAGAGAAGTCAGCGCTGTAAACATAAAAGGCTAGTATTCAAAACCAAAGTCTGAAGTGGAGACAATTCCTTCAAAGTCATTCATAGCTAAGGTAGAGACCGCAAGGGCTATTCCTTGAAATCATGCTCTCATCGTGGATATCTTCTTGACATTTAATTTTTGCTTACTAGGACGTTTCGTCGATTTCTAATTCCTCAGAAAATGACGCACAGAAAACGGCTGCTAGACCTAGAAAGAGGACTAATCGTTGCAGAGACTGTCCGAGGATTTTCTGATGTCCAAATAGCTCGAAATGTCGGACGGAACCACAATGTTGTGATTTGACAATTCGATAATCGTTTTGCGAATGGAATAAAAAAATATCCATTTGGTGGTTGTTACAGCCTTGAATGGGATTGACGACGTTGGATTTAAGAATACCATATCTCATAACTTCACTTATCTTCACAAAGTGTCAACACAATGCTTTTGACTTCTAGTGAATTCATTTATGAAAACGCATACCCCTTCCCAAAAAATGTGAAAAGTTATTTATCCCTTTCATTTGTTGGTAATCGATTTCCTCGAACGGGCGCCAGTAACGTCTCCATTCGTCCCTAGTCCAGTGGATGTCCTCACCCGAGAAACGTGGTTCAGCATTCCTCTCCTTAGGAGCCCCCGTGAAAAGTCTTGACATTCGCGCTGACGGCCATCCCGGTGTTCGTTTGACGTTTCGAGGGATCCATCCTGGGAACGACTCTGATCCTATACAGTGACCACATCGGAATTTCGCATAACGTGTCCGGCCCAGCTAATCTCCGATTTCTTAGCGAAAGCAACGGCATCCCTTATCATCGTTCACTGGCAAAGTTTGGAACTACCGATTAATTTCTACACTTGAGTGTACAGAAATTCCAAGCATCGTCCTTTTTGAAGCGTGTTTAATGGCTGACTGCATGTTCACCCTGCTGTCTTAGACTCCAAGTCTCCGAGACGTAACTCAAAGCAAGTAGGGCCGCTGTATCGAAAAGAAGGATAATAGGATATGGATACGAAGTCGGCTGTTCTTTGTATTCTGCACTACTTCCTGAAAACGGATCGAGTAAGCTGAAAACTTTATCCTCTATCTACCGCATTCCATTTGGACCTCTTTCAGGGAGGCGAAGGCACCTCTCTCCTTGTTTATAATAACACAGTGATAGAATTATCATTATGTGGAACAGTGTGGCGTGGGATATAAGCCATCAGCTCTGGTATGTCTCAATTGTTAGGCTGGTCGTCTCGATGGGCCGCAGGTCCAAAACCAAATCGAGCTTTTCTGATTCGTCACTCTCAAGACCAGAAGCAGGTGCGCAGATTACCATGCGAGAATTTGTACCAGTAGATACTACCACTCTATTGCAGGCCACTCAACCTCAAGCTCATCGTCCGGTACGTCAAATATACAGTAGCTTAATGATGAGGCACTTTCAGAGACTGCTGATAAACTCGACAGTGCTGAAACAGAGTTTTAATGATCGACTAATTGGTCTCTTCTTCTTTGAAACAAACGATACATTTCTGTACACGAAGTTTGACACAGGACTAATAGGGCAGTGCAAGTGGTATTCGTTACGTGCAGATGCTTATGCCTATGATTAGAAGTCTCTATCTGTCGCTGTTCATTTAGAAGATAATTACCCATCGGAATTCAATAGTTTAGCAACCAAAACCTTGAATGGTACTCGCTGATGTCGAGTGATAATAGAACCATTATCAGATGTTATCAGCAACGAACGTTTCTTTATCCAAGGATATATCATCAAAAGAGAATCCCAGATCGTTTGCGGTCGAATAGGTTTCGTTGCATGTGATATCGGAGCAGAAAGAAACCGTGGTCTTTCATTGAGTCACATATCCTGCTGCTTGGCGGTCGTAATCTGATAGCAAGGAATGAACCGAATTCCAACCTCCTTACAATGCAGTGTCTTTAATCGGTCCCTATCACTGTCTTATCAAATGAAACATATTGAGGAGTCAAAGTTACATCGTGAATACTGAAGGCGTTAGGACCCCATCAGGTAGGTGACCTCTGCTTTCAGAGAAGCCTTACCAGCTCTTATCAGTGGTTTCTGTCACCGTGTACATACGAACCCGTTACATCCCATACTCCTACTCAAGGTAAAGGCTCGACTATTAACACGAAGAACATCATAGACATAGTGGCTCTCACCTTCTCAGGCACGTTATCCGTCCCTACCAGTTGTTATCAGTATTTATATCAGTATCAATCATCTTCACTTCCTAAACCACCTACTGAAGTGCTGAGGCTATTCTGTTAATACGAAGGATACTATAGACATAGTACGACGCATAGGGTAAAAATTTAACGGCTAGGAATGGTAAATGAGTGAAGGATTCCGGCTCACAGGTTGTGCGTTCCAATCTGCCACCGCATCTCGGATGGGGGACGGTACGAACGTGCGTCCGAGGGTGCGCGCGGCAAGTTGCGCGGCGAAGTTCGTGACGATTTGTACGATTGCGGCGCCAATTTTCGGGGCACAAACTCAAAGTAGTGTAGTTCAGATGATCCTCCTAATCTACTCTATTTCAAATTTTGGCCCCAATGATAAGCGCCAAAGCCGTTGAAATCATTACGAACTTCGCCGCGCAATTTGCCGTGCGCACCCTCGGACGCACGTTCGTATACATACCCGGGACAGGACCGGACTCTGCCCCGAGAAGGCGGGGTTCGCGCAAAATAAATGTTTGAGCGGAGATTCCTACTCTGTTAACTCCTGTTCCCATGGACCTAGAAACTTCAAAATTGGTAGGAGTAGAGGAGGCAGGATGGGATCACTGACGACAGGATGGGAACACTGACGATAGAAGAAGCCTCAGGAAGCAAAAACCACCTACCAAGTAATTCCTAACGCCCTTGTTATTTCGATCCAGCTTTGACTCTTGGACGTTTCATTCCACAAGGAGGGTAAGTGCAACGATAAGGACTGATTAAGGGTACTAATTCATAAGGAGACGAGATTTGGTCCACTCCTTGCTATTAGATTACGACCGCCCCAGTGAAGTTTATGACTCAATGAAAGATCACGGTTTCTCTCTGCTTCGATATCATTCTTAGCAAGACTTATCCAACCGCTAATAATCTTGGATCGTCATCTAATCATATATCTGTAGAGAATGAAAACTATTGATAAAGACATTTGATAATGGTGTGATTTCGGCTCGACAACCTTTGTGAGTACCATGCAACGCTATGGTTCCCACTGATTGTACATTCAATGCATCATCATTTTTAAGATGAACAGCAACATATCGAGTCTTCTAATCATAATCATGAGCGTCAGAGCATTCTGAATACCATTTGTATGCCCTGTTAGTCCTCTGTCAAAAAAATATAAAAGCTAGCGTTTGAATTAGAGTCATTTGGTACGAAGAAGGAGTGGGCCAGTTAGCCAACTATTACCACTCTGTTATAAGGAGCGAAGCCCGGCTTTAACCCGGGCGATCTGACTGATACCTTTTATTTTCAACAGGGAACGATTACAGGGCGTTCACCGAATCGTTCACCCATGATCGAATCACTTCAACAACATTATTGCTCAGCACTGCTTGCAATTACTGTTAAAACTACCATGGAAGGAGGGCCTGGTGTAAGACATGGCTTTATGACGTTCAAACCTTTTTTCGTTCAATGGACACACATGTATCGGGTGGTTCTTGGGTAGCTTCCATGTCAGCATCGTTCAAGAGAAAGGAGTTTTTCTGGGTGTCAGTAACCAGCACATCGAATTGTGGTCACTATAGAGCCATTATTTTACTGTTTTTATCGCTAAATTTCAAAATATGTTGGTTCTAAGCAGAGACAAATGGGGCAAATGAACTGAGCGATGGGCGGCTCACATAAAGTGGCTGGTAGCGAATAATAATCTTTTTGTGAGTTAGCTTTAATCCGAGTAGACTTCAGAGACAGACAAGGTCGTTTGCTCAAGTCTCATGAGGTGTACCGATTCAACTACTCTTGTTCAAGATTGTTGCAGCCTGGGTTGTTAATATGGAGCTGTAACAAGTTAAGGGACTTCGTGGAGAATTCATAAAATCATTCTTGATAATCACCGTCAATTATGATTATTTAATGTAGTCCCTTGGATTGTTACAGCTTCCCATGATATATCAATGCTTTGTTGATTCGACAACGAACACCGCCCAAGTTCCGCCCAACGTTGCTGTCTGTGTAGATAATACCAAGAGTAAGCAAGACATAGGAAATTTTAAAATTGCAGGCAAAAATTCTGGTTCCTCCTCTGTGTAGAGTGGCAGAGTTGAAGAGCATAGTATTCGACGCTACGGACGTCCCAACTGACAAGCAAGTGCTGATATACAACGACGTCGTACTGAAGTATGTCAATTAGTTAGTCGCTCAGTTCAGGATGGTTATGAAGTATTTTCAATAGACTCTTTTGACATCCCTGCTCCCCACTCAACGACAATCGAGACCAAATGCTGTTCTGCAGATTATCAAATAAAAGGTTATCTCTTGTCAGGCGTCACAAGGGATTTCCTCAGCTTGAACTGAATTTAACCGGGTACGGTGCAGTAGGATCAAAATTGTCGCATCGCGGCGAGAAGGATGCCACGTAGAATGTAGCAGAATGCAGCAGCAACTAAGAAATACAGGAACAAAAGAATTAACATTGGAATATGCCACAATTATCACATATCGATCGGGCTTTATGAAGTACGTTAAAACTGCAAAAACGAGGCGAATGGCCCGCGACTGCCGCGCGCGGCGAATCGATCGCACAAAACCGATCCTACTACCCGTCTCCCAATATTATCTACTTCATGGCACGGGAGGAAGATGGGAGGGAGATGTCAGTAACGATATATATATATATATATATATATATATATATATATATATATATATATATATATATATATATATATATATATGACTCCAGTTTCTCTTGATATTTCACATCCTCTACATACAGCATCTAGCCACTGAACGAACTACTCCTCATGAACCTTGTCAACAGCACATCTTACCCAACCTGTTCATGGTCGAAAGCGTTATTTCCTTAATGAGTTGATTTTCAGAAATGATAGCGCTACTATAGCAAATTATGGGATAACCAAGGATTGCACTATCATATTGAATATTAAGATGAGCACTGGCTCGAAGGTAGCAAGGTAGCTTTTACTCAGATTGTCGGGATCTCGTTAATCCCCTTTGTTCATGAATCAATCTGATACTGAACGAAGTTCGAGATCCCTTTCAAATAGTTGTCCCTGTTCCTTCATGGACAGTGTTCTTGAAATTTGCTAGTTGTTTGGAAGCGTTTGCCCTGAATGCTTTGTGTAGGGGAGCCCGTGATCTCAAGGCCCTCGTGGTTATCCCCACCCCACTCTCAACTCCATCTCCCACCATTTACGCCTTTTCCTATGTGATATTTACATATTTGTCAGGTCCCATGCCAATATGAGCATGCTTTTCATGCCATTAGTAATGCAACAGGGAAGCCTTCCAAGCTTACGTCATACCATAAAGCAGATGTCAAGCGTGCGAGGGTAAGTGACATTTTCTTCTTGCTACGTGCAGTCCTTATTCTTCACAAAAACTCCTGCTTTGGTGTAGAGAGGGCTGTTCTCTAAATTCACAAAAGGGTGAGACATGTACAACTCGCACAAAATGCGTCATACATGCTGACGTTCTTTAAAATAGTAGGAGAATTTGTCTATAGCTACGGATATCATGCGTATGCAGTTGTATCACTTTCGGTATACTCAATAAGAGCTTTCCTAACAAAAAAATAGTCAGCCATCAACTAACTATATGAGACTAAAAAAACCTAGACGTCGTTTTTGGCATTGCTGAGAACTGCTGTGACCTTCTTGTCGTCACACGTGTGAGCAATCAGTCGAGATTCCCAAATTGTTGGTGGTCGAAACAGCTTCCTCGTAGCTGATAGTGGAATCAAGAGCAGTTTAACCCACTTGCGAGGTGCGTAGGCATAGTGATCTGATAGCAAAGAGTTAGTTAAATTTTGTCCCACCCCCTATATGGTATTAACTTCGCCTCTGTCGTTAGTATTTTCACTTTTTGGCATCTTATTAAGATAAACTGTCAAAGTTTCATCGTAAATGTGAAAAAGGTCAGGAAGGCGTTGACGCCACGAGACAGATTTAATCATCCCGTGAATGTGTTACATAGTAACCCGAGGACACACTTAAGCGCTTCCAAACACCGTACATACATACCGTATAGAAATTGGTTTGTCCAAATTGTACGAATGTATACGAATAACTCGAATAGCGCTAGAATAGCCGCACTTCAACCTTGTCTTTCTGCCACGCGATTGTCTGTGTGTTTCTTCCCCCAAGTTCCAAAACAGGACCACGAGATAAGACTTCTTCATCTCCTCAAACTTGGGTAGTTAAACCATTGGTGCAAATGTATACGTCAGTACACCAATACAGGAACTATATGATACTGCCAGAATATATGTCATCCAGAGTACTTATGTATTATGATAAGGCGAAAGATAAATATAGGAGTGAGATTGGTATAGGATAACCGAGGTAAAGAAAGAGATAGGTTGAACAAGTTCATAACCTAAATCACTACAAACGAAATCAGTAAGTACATATGAGCAAAGTAAAAGTAAAAGACAGCGTGATAGGTGTGCCGACGACTAGGATATGACCGGCTATCCATTCTGTGGGAATCGTGTTGCGAAATACTATGTATTCACTATATTCGCGGGCCTTTTGAATCCCAGTGTTGTGTTATAGTGTTCGCTCGCAGAATCATACCGGAATCGCGAGTATTCGCGATATTCAGCAACACCGTCACGTATGTCGTCTATGCCGTCGCGCAACAGAAAGGTACCCTGGGTGAGGTCCACGTGGCGAGTGGTGTGGTACTAGGGTGTTGCTGTATCACACTTTCACGGGACGTTAAATCCCTCTAAAGTTGTGTTATCAGTTTCTATCACCGGTTACAAGAGATTCATCTACATCCTACCCCATACCATGAAGCGGCAGTACTCCGCTGACATGGCGAAATGTTGAAATGATAAGGGCTGATGACTGGATTTCGCGAACACTAGGTATTTCTACCCTGCTGCTTGTATAACCTCCAAATTTGGATGTTTGTGGTGCAGGAAAACAGAGGTTACGAAACTCCAGTATACACAAGCGCGTAAATATATAAACGCATACCTACATACTCAGATCCCCGTTATCTATGTCCCCATATCTCTCTACATCTCACTCACACACTAAGCCAATTCCGTGTAGCAGAATCTCCGTATGTTCCCAAGTGTCCAGCCTATCGGCATCATCGACTTCGTGAATCTCCGTGTTCTTTGATGGTTACGTGGTCCCTCGGACAGATTTTACACATTCGTCTTTCCATATGACGTTGTATCATAGCTTATCTTTTTTCTTCGTTTTCAGTTGTCATCACTGCTCCTGCTGCTCGTGTGACGACGGGTAAGATCACTGCATCCTACTAAGAACGATTCGCCTGAAATATCTTTTGGTGTGGCGGCTGTTTGTGCATGTGCATGTGCGTGGGTGTGTGTGGGTGGATTGGTGGTGAAAACTGATAAGGTTTGATAAGCGAAAAAGCTTAAGAGTGATTGGAAATGACAGTAACTGACAGGGATCAGAAAGGTCATGACAAAACCGTTAGACCACCACTAAAACCACTTTCACTATTAAATTCCAGACATCTCGGCGAATATGGGAAAGAAAAGTTATCATATTGTAAACTGAGGGCAAAACGATTAGTGATAGCAACATGACAAATAGTCTGATGATAGAAAGCTGAGATATACCGTATTTTTCCAAAAAGCACTGGCTTGTGTATCGGCTGGTCACAGTAGGTCATTGTATAGGGGCCAATGGAAGTCGAAGGCGGGGGAGCATCCCTCAGACGGGATTGTCTAAGGCCCGAAGACTTTAGCCTTTATCCTCAGTTAAGTTACTAAACCATAATGTCAACTGTTCCAGAGCTTCTTTCCCTACGGTCCAGATAGCAATAATATATTGTACCGTTTTCGAGTTCAAAGGAGAAAGATCGATCCTCGGCCCAAGCGTGTGTGATAGTGCACCACATGCCCATGCACATCCACCAAGAACTTCAATACAAGCCCATTATTGTTGCGAATAGCGCATAGACTATCGACGAGTGAACACCTCTTCATCTAAGTTTTTTGATCTTTTAACTTCATTTCAAACATGCAAAATTCGAAATTAGGAACATGCATTAGTAATCAAAAAGATTAGCTCCACCGATATAAAGGTCCTCGGCCTAATGTTTCCATCTGGGTGTTGCGCATTCCCATTTTTTTCTGATATCAGGGCATATTTGGTGCTTTTTGTTTATCGAAACTTCGCGAATGAGCTCGGGTCACCTTTGTCGAGGAGAGCTGAGGGCACTGGAGACAGTGCAACCTTCCAAACTCCTGCAGATTTTCGTTCAAGCTAGGAATTGTTTCTTCAACATAGCGAATGGCGAAGACGGTTCGCTGATCACATTTTAGACGACCCCTCTATCGTGGAAAAATTGATACTTCAAGAGAATATTCGACGAATTGGACACCAGCGAAGCAAATGGAAAATGAGCTAACAAGGAATCGTATGAAGGTATCTATACTGGGCGTTTGAGTATCATTGTTACTTGAGGCGACAAAAATGAATTCAAAGGTTTTTTTCTAGGGAGGTTCTGACCATGTAGGAGGCCATGATCAAGATATTACGGCGGGACGAGCCCTTACTCGGTGGACTCCTGACGATGCCCTTATTGACGTTTACTCCGTTGATTACTGAGGCTTCGGTGTGGTAACTCCAGGTCCTACAGTTGAGCTATGATTATTCCGCGTTCTTAGAAAACATTCACTTGGGTGGAAGTATTCTGCCAAATGAAGCCGAAATGATCCCCCTAATAATCATCTTGCAAGTGCGAAATTCTATTCATGGGTATCAGTCTGATCAGTCTCGATGTCGTGGCTTCCGCCTCACTTCTTGAAGGGCCACTCCTGGTAGAATGCGCGGGACTTCCGGCACGAACAGCCTATCGATACCTGCGCGTCGGCTACAGTAGACGCGTGCTCTGGCCTAAAACATCCGTCATCGTGTCTGGGTGTCATCGGCGTATACGGCTGCCACTGCTCGTCGTTCTGCCGTCGAACTTGCTAGAGGGTGAAGATCTGATTCATTCGACCAACTGCGTAGTGAACGACTCGAACATGGAAGCCCGAGGGTGCGGTGCGGTCCCAAGTCACGTCACTCCTCGTGATACCTAACGCACTGGGTTCGAGCCTCCTGATACGTGGGTTTACTGGTCATCCTCGTAGCTTTTGATTATTGGAGTAATTAATGTTTTCTCTATATGAATACATATGGTGTAATTTTTATACCATTTCTTCCTTTGACCATTATTGGCGTATCCATGAAGAACTGCCTCAAATATTGTGTTGGAAGCACAGTATCGAGACGGTTACACGACGTGGAATGTTATGACTGGTTCGATTGATATAGTTGGGCTGTACGTAGGGTGCTCCGTGCCGTAAGATGTAGCACGCGTGTGACGATGGTTGGGTGTAGGACCAGCGTAGGGGCTGCAAGGATCAAAGCAACATCGCGCATGGCAAGGCGAGAGAGAGACCCCGATCGGGCCTTCCCGACGACGGGACGCCACTCCTAAGCGTGGCGAACCCCGATGCCCATCTACAGCGAGGAGCAGGGCGTCACCGACGGCGCGACACTCAAGTCGAACAGCTTCTGAAGTATTTGTAACAGGTTCAATAGCTTAATAACCTTACCAGTGAACCGTTAGAAGTATTACATGTGTATATGTGTGATCCGCAGTGGAGTTGTGACTTTTCTGAACTTCCTGAACTGATTCCAGCACCTTCTCTGGAAACGAAAAAGAAGTAGGACGTTATCGGAGCCATCGTCAAGCGAAACATCTCCGACACCATATACTGAGTTTGTACTTAATGCGTTTGAAAATCACTATATTAGATACCAATCAGAACGGATTCGGTTCAAACCTTTGGTTCATGGCCAGGATAGCTTTTCCAGATGTCCAATTTAGTATGCTAACTCCAGATTTTCTGTTCCGTTTCCTTTGGTAAAGTTAAAATGGGTTGCCGTAGATGAAGTCACCGAATTCATATTTGATCCTATCATATTATACAGTTCTCACTAGAAGTCGAATTTTTTCCACTGCTAGTGTGATTTGATCCCTTATTATGCTGAGAAACAGTCTCGTGGTCTGATGGGCCAGCAGAGAGTCGCCAGTACCTTTCTCAGTTGTGCTACATTCCCAGTTATTACCCCCTTGCTCCAAAAATGTCAGGGTTCCGCATATGTGCAAAGAAAACTATAACAAGTATAGCCGGAAACCATAACATTCCGTTTAAAAATGTAACCTTCAAGTTCTATCCTATTCAGTAATGTTTCAGATCTTCTGCAGCTTCGCTGAGTTGTAGTTCAAGTGACTCGAAAATTTTGAAATCGTCCCAATCATATGAGCCAACACTGACCGAAAAACAACTTAAGGTGTGCGGATCATATCTTTACCAATCATGAATTCAGTAAACATTGGATCCCTGATCCCTGCCAACATAAGTGTCTTCCTCCCGCATGATAGCGATAGAGTCAGAGTGACAACCGGCTTTTTCTCCACTCTGTCATCAAATTTATCAGACTTTCTTCGACCCACCTGAATCTGTGGAAGAACTTGAGCTGACAAGAAATAATTTGGTACTACCTCCATCAAACGTTAACGAGTTGTTGGAACTGAAGGCCGCTCAAAGGAAATCGGCGGATTCGATTTGCCAGGTGAATTCATACAACTGCTCCTCGATTTGTTAATAGCAAGTGTCAAAGCTTTTGTAGTCTAGTCGCAGCCGGAGAACTGAAGAAGAAAATTANCTTGCCTTTAGGGAGGAAACGAACAGGCTACAATGACAAACTAGCGAAAACGAGAGGTTTATGTAGCATCTGACTGAGGCAAAACCTGTGGTCAAACGTTGTAACACCATATTTAAACCTGACTGGCCGTCTAGAAGAATTTACCTTAATTTACAAATTTAATTTCTTACTGCACGCAACAACATGGGTATAGGACGTATCAGACGGAACGGATGTAAGTATTTGGACGAGCTGTCCCAACGCGTGTGTGTGCTATTGCGTACAGCTGGCTACAGTAAGCTGCCGGTGTGCAAGGTGTGTGCCCCCGTGCGATTGGTGCAACCTCTACGTCGTCCACAACGCGTGAGAACTCTTCCGCGTTGGGTGTGTACGTCCGCTTTTATTGCGCCTTATCTTGGTCGACTTTCAACCCGACAGCGTCCCTTCTGCTATACTTGAGGATGAATATGAACTGCGCTTTCGATAAGGAGACTCGTCAACGATTATATATAAACACATTGCGATTTCAGTTCTGCCACAAAAAACTGGCCTTAACTGAACAGCACATCCAATGTCTCTGTGAAGAGAAGTTTTGCAAAAAGCACCGCTCACCTGCGGCTCACTACTGTGGCATAGATTACAAACACACAGGAAGAAGTAAAATTAATAAGGTTGGCCGGTAATTATGAAATATTCAGTTACATTTCATTGTCTTTTGTCATTATACGACACTTAAATAAGCACAAATTGTTCTGTTTTTCAGGACAATCCAAAAATCTTTGAGGGTGGTTTACATAAAGCAAGAGAAGAATAAACTACTCACGAACATTAACTTAAGTGTATCTTAACAAAGAATCAGTAAATGACTGAGATACCTGTGCAATGTGCTCATTATCAGGCCCTCTTGCAGTAACGCAAGACTTTACAGGTGCAGACTAAAAACTTTATTGTGAGGGAAACATTAAAATGCTGTGATCGTTGAGAAGAGTGCACTGAACTCCCTGGTGAAAAGTATAAAAATGACGTATACTTCTGATGCTGTTCGTAGATTGATCGACGCAAACCGTCAGTTCCGTAGAATCCTTCCGTTGGTGCACCGCCTGTCGTCCCGCTTATTATCGATTTCCTTGAGCGGGCACCGGCAACGTCTCCACTAGTCCCTGTCGCAAGCCAGTGCAGTCTAGAGGGTCGTCTTCGCTGGAGTGACACGATGAAAATCATTCGTTCGTCGCGAAAAATCCCGACCAGTAGGCTGGCCGTCAAGTATTCATTTGACGTCCTCAAAGATCTAGTCATTAACCGCTCTGGTTTGACAGTAATCTCGAAACCATATAGCGTGTTCGGTCAATATTCCTTCAATTTCTTGACTTAATTGACAGCGTGTCTGGTCTTCGTTTCTTTTTTCTTTCTTTTTCTTTTGATCAGCACCGGAGCTAGGTTTCCATCATGTTGGCTTCTCGACTCACTGAAGGATCCCTGGCTGGTAGGTGGCGAGAATACGTTAGCGATTCCAAGCGAATAGGAGATAGGTCGTGGACCAAGAGCCAACGGTAAGTATCCAGGGGCCGGATCTCCCGCCTGTCCGTTCTCGCATCGGGGTCCCGACAGGACGGATTACAGCCGCGGTGCGGTAAGGAAGGTTGGTACGTCTATGGGACTTGTACGCGTGTAATCGTTATGTGGATTTGGCCACTGATCTGGTGAATCGGCAGGGTTATGATGCTATATAGTGGAACTTAACATTTAACTTCGACCCTCAAATTTCGCAGTAATACGACGAATAGCCTGTACATGATTTTGAATGAAGACCTTGTAAGGCTTCACGCGTGTATCGAATGCAATGCAATTCTTGAGTCGGAGGATATACTTATGATGTTAAAGGGAAGATTCAAATGTTTCACGAGGTACTGTGCCAAATAAATACCGATTAGAATGGCTAAAAGCTATGTACGCAGTGTAGTCATTGGCTTTGGACTATTAAGGTGAGATTTTGCCATGAGTAAATTAGACTGCACTGTCCCGGTAGGCGACAAACTAAATATGCACATGTGTAAATACGTTCAGAGGTATCTCAAAATATGCATAACTCTAAGCTACCTAACTGGCTCAGAAGTTACCTTTGTTGGTGAAATACGCGGCCAATTGGTGGAATCTCGGATATTCTAAGTCCGGCAACAACTGCTTCCAACGCTGTAGGTCCGGCTCCNCCATGTTCTGAATCCAAAGGTCCTGTATAAAAACTTTTGTAGTGGCCAAGAATGGAGTGAGCAATCCCAGGGGATTGTACGTGGAAGCCAGGGCGCGTAAGGCTGTACGCTTATTTCGGACAGGAATATGCGATATAATTATTTGAATGACAATTTCGTCTTTTTCATAGAGCCAGCGAATGCCTGACAATTTAGCGTCGGAAGGGATAGGAATACGATGTATTGTTATTGCCGCGTTAATCTGTGAGGAAACGCACTCTCAAGTTCGTGTACCTCCTTTTGAAAATAGCTTTAACAAGTTCGTATTTATGAGTGCTTCTCTTTCTGGATGTGGCACTCAAAACAACATTATCCACTTAAGTGTTACATGAGATCTCATCGGCTATTGGAGACTCTTCTTGTAGGTAGAGGTACAATTTGATTGTCGCAGCGAGTAAAAATGGTGATGCATTAAGTCCGAATGATTTTCTAGTAAACCGAAAAATGCGCAGATTAGTAGGAGATGGAGGTCTAGACGTGTTCTTGAGCCACAAGGAGCGAGTAGCATCTCGTTCTGCGAAAGTGTACACCGAAGTCGAACCTGATGGAGTGCTTTTTCTAGGTTGGCCATAAGAAGAAATGGCTGAAGACGTGCACGAAGCAAAATACCGACTAACTCCGGCAAAAGTGTTGACCCTCGGTAGAGACAGTCATGTAGGCCACATGCCCCTTTGCGTTTGAAAGATGCGTCAAAAACAATACGTAGTTTCGTTGTAGAAAAGGACTCCTTGTAAACCAGCTGTATAGTGAACGCGTGAGTTGTCGAAGGTGTATTCACCAACGTCTGCCCTGCGGTAACATGTTCTTCAATTGTCTTCACGTATTTCTACCAGATGTCAGGCGGCTAATTAAGGCGCTGGAACTGGTTCAACAAACGACAATACGCTAGCAGTTTGTTGTCTTCGAGTCTATGGTGACCTGGTTTCTAAGGAAACCGAACATAGAGAACACCTTCAGTGAACTCTGATGTTTTGTTAAATTCTTGTATACAGTGTGCGCCATAAATATGGTAACAATTTTTCGGATGCGCGTAATTCCCTTAATTAGAGAGTTTTTCCAAAACTGTGGTTCCCCTTATGTTAATGATACCCCTTAGCCCACATATCTACTTTGGTACTCTCAGCTCGTTAGATTGCGAAAAACGGTGGAGCCTCGCATACATCCACCAACCTTCCGTTTTTGCGCGCACTTGGTGAATCCTTTCTCGGGATCGTTCCTCGTTTTAACTTCCCCACATGACAGTCTTTTAAATCGCGTAGCGTAGACAGGTCGAAAGCAAACCTCGAAATGGTCGTCTTGTCTCTTATACGACCCTTTTTCCGAATACAATTTTTTGGGAAGGAGTATGATGCAGAACGTGCAGAAATGCGAGAAATAGACAGTTGATTTGTTTGTATTTTGTACTCCGGTGAGAACAGTCTACCCTGAGTAACTACAGTTGGATCCAAATAGGATTCGAAAGACTTATACGCATTTTGACGAGAAGAAGTTGAAGAGAAAGAACATTTCCTGTGTGCTACTTGCGCTCGGCACGTGCTTCGACAGACTTTTTTCTCACCAAAAGTGTTTAGCGTGGAAGAAATGTTGAGATTTCAGAGTATACGTATATTTCACACTACGAGTGCTGAAACCGCTGAGGAGAGACAGGTCGCCTCTCATAACCATTTTCTCTCTTTTATGATACTTTGGGCTAGGATCCCTACCATCACAGCAATATCGTAAATTTTTGTCGAGAAAAGTACAAAGCTTAATCCGAACCTCTTAAAAAGTGTTCTTCTGGTAAGATGCAGCTGAGAGTCAAAAATTTTTCTAGGGGTACGACTTGAAAAGCGTGACACACTTGCTCACGAATCGGAAAAGATCAAGACTGGTGCTGAGGAAATGTGCTGACTTAATCCATGCTTGCAATCCTTCTACGAATTTCCCGGCCCACAATGTGATGGGTCGCTGGATATAGTCCATGCGGGGGGGAAAAGCGTGCGCTCCAAAATGCACCACTGTTGCTGCTTCTAAAAAATTACTGAAAAAAGCCCGGGCTGGAATTTTTTAAGAAACTCTGCGTGCCACTGTCGGTGAGTAGCCGGAGCATGTTTGAGCTATAATTAGTACAGGAAATGGTATATAAGATGACGGTGTGTTCGTTTTGTAGATGTGATGCACAGTAAATAATTCACAAGAATTTATCATGTATCAACATGAACTATGGTTTCTGGAAGCCAATATTTTTGTTACCATATTTATGGCGCACCCTGTATAAGGCACTTTTCGAGTTTACCGTCAGCGGAGGGCTCGTAATTATCGGCTATGCCGAGCGCATCTAATGACCACACGCGTTGAATCTCATTGTCATCTTGGTACTTGCTCACTGTCACTGTCACTGTGTCGAAGGAGGCTGGGCTTTGCGGAAGCCTGACTGAGAAACTGAAATGCCTGATACGACCGTGCCGAAACGAGTTTGACAGAGGACCATGCCTGATGGGAGGCATATGGGTAGTTGCGGCGAAAGGATGCCCCAGAGATAGTCAATGCCAATAAGGATATTGGGAGTAACCGACATAGATTGGCATAATAGTAGGGGGAATCCATGAAGTCAACATCCTTTGATGACAAATACGGTGGAGGCTGTGCTGAAGTCACCGTATGCTTTGTAGTGAACTTGATGGTAAACGTTTCGAATTGCAGGCCTACAAGTGTGAGGTTACAACGCCTGATTATTCTGTTGTTGAATAACCGCCAAAGGTGGTAAACGTACTCTACGTACGACAACGTGATTCCTTCCACATTTAAGATAAGATGGGATAAAAAATATAAACCGGGTAATACATTTGGGATGACCTGATTCGTGAACGCAAGTAGAGGAACACTCACATTTTCTGTTGTCATGATAGGGAAGTGTGAATGATGGACAACAGCAAATTTTACCCACATATTATGTCTATATAATAGAAATACTATTCTTGTTAAGGTGTACATTCACGATAAAATTTATTCATAAAGCAATTTATTGATTTACTTCGTATTGTTCATGATAGATAAGCCATTTATCACCTTCTCTCTTCCAGATGTGGAGCATTTTGCCTTTAAGAATAGTGGCATCATCCACCTTTTTCTTAAGTTCGAAGTCGAAATCAGTGATCTTGTA